CGTAGCTATGGAAGGATGACCTGGAAGAACACTTTGAAGGGTTCAAAATTGGCTCCATTCTGACTCTAGATGAATGCATGTTCTAGCTTTGAATAGTAAGATGAACTTCTCAGCCTTGGTCTCTTCACCAAAGGAAACAAGGTTGGGAAAAGCATAAACTATCTCCAGGCTGTTTTTTGTTACATGAGATGCAGCCTCAGAATTTGAACACTGCCAGGATTCAGGAGGTGCTTAAGCACTGCTTTCTGGCCTGTATTTCCAGCCATCTCCCTTTTCCCAATACTGATTTCAGAAGTTCTTGTATCTTTCATCTTAGGTAAGAAAGGATTTAAGACTGTTGATTGGTAAACCTTCCAGCAGATAAAGCGTTGTTCTCCTTTATGTGTATGGGTAGGGCTACTAGATCTGCGCTGCAAATTATGGGCAACCGTTATATAAGAACAAAGAGATATAGAAAATTCTAATACTTTGATGCTATCTGGTAGTCATCCAGATTTTGCAGTCTAGCTCTGATTAGTCCTATGTATGGGCTTTTCTCCACTGCTAAATTTGAAATACCATCCACACATCCTTGAACTGGCAGAAAACGGCGGTGTAGTAGTTAAGGGACTACGTTAGAAACCAGGAGACCGAGACTTCTAGCTCCACCTTAGGCATGAAGCCAGTTGGAAGCCTTTGGACCAGTCACTCTCTCTCAGCCCTAAGAAGAAGGCATCCAGGCAGTCACCAGGAGTCAAGACTGACTTGAAGGCACCCTCACCCCTTTACTTTAGCACTGGTTCTGCTAAGGGTGACTGAAGCCTGTTGTAGTCATCGGATAGGCAATGACCTGGTGCTGTGGCATGAAGATGATATTAGGGCATGTTTGTGTTGCAGTTAGATACAGGTGAGAAAGATCTTATAGTATGTATATGCATAAAACCAATAGACAGATACAAACATATGTAATGAAAGATGCTAAAAAGACTTGTTCATAGATCTCCAGCATCTCATTTTGTACAATCCTGAATCAAACTGATCTTTTTTTCCCTGACACTACTGTATTGGACATGATCCAGAAAGAACCTGATCTTCTGTCCCTTGGTTCATTTCAGAAACAAATGTGGGAAAAAAACTTCTCAATAGACAGAATCTGGGAAGGGAAAACTAGGAAAGCAATACAATTTCTTGTTCATCTTCAGGGAAACTTTCTTATTCTTTCTCATTCAGCAGTACTCAAGATTCATGTCATATTTCTTTTATTTAGCTAGCTACTACTGCAATTCTAATGTAATTCCATTGCAAAGGGTCAGTCTGGATGACTATAACTTAGAATTTGATCATGGTTTCTCTAGGAACATCTGCTTGATGCTTCCATCTTTTAGGCTTCAAGTTAAATCTGTTTTACTTTACTAAGTCTGAAATGGTTGATTGTTTTATTGCTATTCTCTCACAGCTTTCCTTTTAGCATGCCTTTTATAGCTTGGTCCTGGGAGTATGTTTTCATTGTTTTATTGTTAATTTGATGTTATATTGGAACTCTTATGTGCTGACAAATGGAAGTACTGTACAACCTTTGGGGAATTAAGGGCAGCATGTGAGTCTTCTGGAAGGGAGAGGGGAGATCCATATTGGCAGTCCAAAGGGGATATAGTCAAAGCAGAAAGTGGCCATGCCATTTTTTTCTACTTTTATAATTGTATTGCCAATCATCCATGTTTTCCTATCATACCCAGTCTCTAATTGGCTATATTAATTGCAATCTACCAAAAGTTAGCAGTTACAAGGATGTAGTAGAGTTGTACAATCAAAAGTTAGCAGTAACAGAAGAGGGAGTAGAGTTGTACAAAAAAACATGCAGGGACACCTGGTGATGGCCCATGGATTACAGGTTGGTCACTCTTATCTTATAGCTATGTGACTCCAATTGTGAATGAATTAAAAGTAATGGGAAGCCAACAATGGATCAACAGTTTTAATCAGATAAATCCCCCATGTGTTAAATTAATATCTCTTTAGAAAGGGAAAGATCTTCTCACATTGAGCTTAACTCCTGACGCCTATAAGGGCATGTTGCTATAGTTTTCTTGACAATAATATGGAAATAATTTGCCGTTGCTTTCTTCCAGGATGTTTTTCTATATCCCAGCCTGGTCTACAACCTTGGGATTTCTTGATCATCTTCCATCTAAGAATTAACCAGGTCCAATTCTGCTTAGCTTTTCTGAGAACAGCCAAGGATAGCTGAGTGATGCCACTGACCAATAAATAGCTAAAGAGATGCTTTTTCTTTTATCTTCCAAGCAATGTGTTACATTTTACAAACGGCCATGTAAAAGACTCAGATGAAATCAGCCTGGGAGTAGGGAAGTTTTGGAAGCACTGTTTCAAGGAAACCGCAATCCTGAGGGAAGCTTGCTACTTGGAAGCAGAGTGTACGTAACCAGATATGGCATTAGAAGAGACTAAGTGTGGTCACTCTGTCAACATGGACATTGGATCACCAGAACTTCTCTGGCTTTGAATAAAAGACCATTTTCTAAAAAGGAGGGATTTGTGTGCTTCTTTCACTTCTTCCTTCAGAAGAACTCAGAACAGTGCATATAGAACAGTTTACACATGATGGTAACCTCCTGTCTTGGTAGTTTACACATTTATGCTTGCCTAGGTCTCTTAAGATTATATGGAGTGCACTTCCTTTCTATAGTCCTAAACTTGTTTTTATCTGTTCCTGACCTTTTGAAATGCCCACTCATGTTGGTTGTTTATCGCTGCGTTTGTTTTATGAGTGAGAGGTTTGGGAAGAAAGCTACTTTCTGATAAGACTCTGCAAAGCTGTAATGAAAGATCATTCCAGATATTACAATATTTGATGATTTAACTAGATGTGTTTATGTTTCAGTTTGGCTCACTTTATCCTAACGTGCTGTAGTAAAGGAAGTGTTTCTTTAAAAAAAAAAAGATTGGCCATTAAAGCCTCAATCTTGGTAACTATGATTTTTTCCCATTCTCTTCTCCTTTAATTTGCTTAAATTTAAGCTAGAATAATTACCTGCAGCAACTATATCTTACGTAGGCTTCAGCCATAGGATCGGTTTGCTCTATAGCACCTACCTCTGTTATTTCTTGCCTTAATAAATAACATGAGATCTAAGTAGGGAGTTAATGTAAATTATTGATAAAATATTGATATTTTGAATATTGATAAAAGTCAAGCTCAATCTTGATGTCTTCATGGTCCATATATTACAGAAAAAAGTTTGCCCTGCTCTCTTCCATAGGGGTAGACAATCTGGGGGGTTCCTGATATTGCTGAACTACAATTCCCAGCACTCTTAGGAAGCGTGGTTTATTGTGAAGTATGCTGGAAGCTATGGTTGCATAACACCTGGAGGACCACTGTTTGCCTATGCAGTGTGCTTGTAATTTGATTTGAAAAAAATCTTTAGCATTTAGGTATTGCTTTGTTATAATGGCCAAATATTTACTTGTCTTAATGTTTCTAGTAATCCACCTAACTAGAAACCAGAATATAGAGAGAGAGAGCATTCCAAAAAGTAGGGGTGAGGCTAGGACAAAAGCTAAATTTTATTTTATTTACATTTAAATTAATTTAAAATTATATTTAGTTGATATGATTGTTCTTCCATCCCGTATTTCTGAATTTTCTTGTTCCAAAATTATAACATGGTAACTATTTTTGGAAGTCTTGTCAGTGCTTTTCCCATGGCTAATGTGGCTCTGGGGAATCAAACTGAGAACAAGACAAGCTCTGAGCTAGCTGTTGTCCATCGTGTTTCACCCTTTTTGATTGGAACACATGCCAGATGTTGAAAATGTTTTGTCCGTTGGAAAATCTGGAATTTCTATTTCTTTTGAATCCATTAATATCAGAACATTGCAGCTGTGTTTGTGACATCATCTAGAAGTATTGTGCTGCGGAAGGAAAAAAAAAGTTGAGGGCTTAGCAGCGATCACCTTACATCATTACTACAGCCCATGTTTGAAGATGCAAAGAAGAGGTGGTAATTCCTTTTACATTTGTGCACCATAGTTAAACATACGTCGAGCACAATATGACTTATCTTGACATTCATTAATGCATGAGCTAAAGACACAGATATGAATATTTAATGACATTTGGAAAATTCAGTGCTTTACTCTCACCACCCTCCACTCCAAATATGGTAAAATACATACACCAGGTAAACATAATTAAGCTTACATTTATTGAAATGGTACCACCTTTCACATTTGAATTATATACAATATACTTCTGCATTCAGACGGGGGACAGGTAGTGAACTCAATTCCCTTTACATCTTTTTTAAAAACACCATGAATTAATACTGCCTGAAAATATGTAAGAGCCAATGGTAGTCATCATCTGCCTACACAGATTGAGACACCCACTTTGATTTTGATAATAATAATAATAATAATAATAATACTCTTCCACTTAATTACATGATTCTAAACATGTTTCATTAGAATTAGCTTTTTGAAGTGAATGCTGCTTACTTTCTTTAATACAGAAAGCAAAGAATAATGAATGTGTTTTCTTAAGCTTGTGTATGGACAAATGGAGATTCTATTATTTTACCAATAGAAGCTGAAAGACTGTAAATGTTTAGGATCTCAGTCCAAGGGAGAAGAATTATCTCTCACTGTATACGCTTACCTGTTACCTGAATGCAGGTGTATGGCATTGTTCTGCCTTGGCCTTTTGAGTTCTTCAATTTGTCCCGAGGCTCCCCAATGACCTTTTACTTCAGAAAGGGAACTTAAATACCAGTGCTGCACTAGAAGTGGGGAACCTAAGACGAAAGGTTCAGAAGACAAGGAAGAGAAGGGAGCAAAAAGCTGGCTTTGCACTGGACCCTGTGCTTGTTTTCTGTATATCACAGAGAACACAGTGAGGGACAGGCTCATTCCAGCAATAAATAAAAGTCCAAAGCTCCATATATCAAAAATAGCTTGTCTAAAATGATTTCCCTTCCACCATCTCTAACTGGTGCCCTTCAGATGTGTTTGATTCCAACTCCCAGCATTCTTGGCTTTGTGGAAATGCTGGATGTTGTGACCCCTACACATCTGGAAGATACCAGGCTGGAAACAGTGATCTACACAATGTGAATAAAAATGGATCAGCATGTTATAATGCAAAGCCATAAAAACAAAGGTCAAGTATGACCAGCCCTGCAACTCTGCATTAAACTTTTTTTACATGCTGCCAAGTTCATTGTCTGGTCACTAACCCATTTCTCTGTGTACATATGTACATTTCTTGCTGACTAGGACATACGAATAGGCAGCGGTGGCTAGAGAGCTCTTGCAGTGAGTGTTAATTTAGTGCATACTGTACATTTTCTTCATGGCAGTTGTGGTTGCCATTGATAAAACTGAAGGTGATCATGGACTGATGGTTGGTGCTCTTGAAAGATGTCATCGGTGTGGTACTTCTGCCTGTACTCTGGGATCGAATTAGAAGACGGGCTTTGTAACAGGACAGCTGGTGGTTAAACTGTTTCCGAAAACTTTTGCTGAGCAAGTACAAGGCAAAAGGGTTTATGCAAGAGTTAATAAATGCCAGGATTCGAGCACAAAGAGAAGTGATAAAGTGCAGGACAGATGTATCCACCTCTGAATAATGGTATGACCGATATAAGTAGATGATATGGTTAGGGAGCCAACAGAAAGCAAAGATACAAACAAAAACTAGCACTGTCTTGGCGAGGCGTTTCCGAGATTCCATCTGAAAAGAGAAAAGGAGATGTTAGGTCAACAACACCGAAGATAAGATGGGACCCTATGTTTAGTTTTAGTTATCTAGACAACAATACATGAATGTTCACATTGGCTTCCACTTCATGGAAAAGTACTCCTGATTCATTCATTTATTTTCTTAAAGAATAGCTTCTTTTCTTTTGAAACTGATCATTCTAAATATATTTGCAAACTAATCCTATTTCAATTTAATGATAAGACCATGAATTGGATGGGATGCATAGAACAGCAGCGTTATGGTCCTTCAGATCATCCCATTTAATGATGCAGTTTGTGAAATTCTTTGTTGCTATCCTATCACAAAGATAAAATCCAATGAAAGAATAAATCTTGGCTGAATATGCACAGTCTGTCCTCATTTAGTGACCGCAATTGATTCCAGTGAAATGGTCGCTAAGTGAACCATGTGACAGAGAGATAAAGAGAGAAAGAGATGCTGCAAAGATGGTTGCTGTCATCTCATTTAGATAAAGTTCTCTCATGCAGCAACCCCAGAGTTACTCTCACTCCCGCGTATGTTGTTGTTAGGCGCAGAAATTTGGTCGTAAGTGTACACATTGGTTGGGAAATGATTTTTTTACTACCATTTATTATTGTCATATTTGTGAATGGTCGCTAACTGAGGTAGTCCCTAAGCGAGGATTGGCTGTATTCATGGTTCACATATAAGAGACTCCACAAACATTTGATCTTCTGTAACAAGAGCAAATAAATATTTTGCCCCATGATATTAGTTCTAAGCAAGCTTTGTTAGTCTAATATTTGTGCTTGCCTACCCACAATACTCATTTTTTTCTTCTCCTTTCCCCACTGCATGCAGCTGCTACCAATTGCCCTCAACTTGAGACCAATGTTGGGTTCCTGGATTGCATGCATTTGCATGGCCACTCCAGGCTGTCCAACCACAGCTGCCTGGTTCATACTTCAGCTCAAGTCCTGTGCTACTATGTGGTCCAGCCACATCAGAAAATAGGAGGAGCTGAAAAACTAGAAGGGAAGTTCTGCAGGTTTGATTGGGGAAGCAAAAGCAGAATGCCTGAGGCTGCTCTACAGAGATGTCTCCTCCTTGCTTCTCAGTCAGATGAGCAGGGAAAGGGAATCCTAGGAAAGGGGGTTTAAAGAATTTTTTTTATATATCTACTACTCTTAGTTAGTTCTAGTTCTTAGCTAGATGTGTACAAATATCACTTTGGTGTGTTAATGAATGCCACAGCCACTTTTGCCTCCAGCCCCATTCACCACTACTTAAAAGTATTATCTCAGCACAGCCTTTTTTGTAGAGCTCTTAGGGAAAGAAGGACGGCTACATACCCATCTTTTCCCCTTGTCTGCTCATTGGGCTATTTAAAACAGATCTTTTGGTAGCAGAAAGCAATCACTAGGACTAGAGTACTTCCACCATGATGTCTTGTGCTACTTTGGGATTAGCTCTGGATCCAGCTGTTCCCATGATATTGTCTGTGTTTGGGCACTGAGTCAATTTTCTTCTGGCTCTGAACTAGTTTACCTGAAGTGACACAATAAAGGCCCTGCAGTGGAGGCTACATCACTCCTTGCCACGACAATCCTGGGTGATCACTACAAGGAAGAACCCAAAACAAGCTGCAGTGGAACTACAGAAACATCATCTTCACCCAGGGCTACTAGAGCATAGCATTAAGTGCCAGTCATAGTTGAAGTACTGTGAGCTACTGAATCCATAGGTAATTTCACAGAACTCTCATGTGGGAGCAAGTGTGAACCCTGCCCACTCACTGCATTCTAATGCTAGTATCTCTCCAAATGATTGCTCATGTGCTGCTTCACTGATCACAGCCGTCTGAAGTCCCATCCAAGTATTCATGTTGTATAGGAATGTGGCTTTTATCACCTCTGTCTTTTTTGTAGGACCACTCTGTAGTGTAATTATGTAGGCAGAGGCCATCATCTGACCCATGCTACCTTTTGAAATTAAGGCTCCATTTTTAAGTTTGCTAGTTAGGCATGAGAAGCAGCCATGTTTTCTGCATTAAATCTCATTTTATGCTACAAGACCAAATTCTAACCCTCATGTCAGTCCCTTATTGGCTTTTATTATACAGTATGCTAAGCTATTCTGCAAGGGGCAGGATAAGTGTAGATCAGCATGTTTAGTGATGGCAACCTTTGTCAACCTGACACAAACTAGACCGTTATATCAAACCATAATATGATTTAGTATCTTTTCCACCTACGCTTAGAGTGTCCTGTGTGGTGGCAGCTTACCCAGCCAGTGTGCTCCCAATCATGTTTTCATAATGAAGAAACTGTGAAAAAGCCACCCTGGTCACTTACAAGTCTTTGCTAGCCATTTCCCAACATACAGTATGCTAGCTATTTCTTGAAGTCAAGCACTCAAAACTATTTTTACATATGGCTTTTATGGTATTTATAGGCACCATGAGCAATTACTGCCATAAATGGTTCTACCTTTGCCCTGTATCCACTCAAGTACATACGATGCAATCATGGTAATTTTGATCTTCATCTCCCTCTTGTTTTAATCTGCTATTAAAGGCCTAACAGCTTTCTTTTGTTCAAGGTTGCATTTCCTACTCGTCATTGTATACTGCACTGCCCTGGACAGTACTTTGTGGTCTTGAACAAAAGAATGCTATTGGGGATGGGGTCAGCACTGAATACTAAAGAGGCTCCCTTTCAGCAATTCAGAGTCACTTCAAAGGATGAGTGCTACATGAAAAGATCTCTATCGTCATAAATTTCAGGGCTGCAAAAATCTCCCTTTTCCTTTTAAATTTCAAGTGGTACTGATCTGAGATATTATATCCTCTTCTGCTAGCCATCGAAATATAACTATTTCTGAAAATGGTCTCATGTGAGAGGGAAGTACTATATACAATTATGTAAATATCCCTGGATATGTTACAGGATGACAATTTCATCATTGCACAAGAGAGACCTCGCTCTTTCTCGTCCCACCATCATCAAACTGGCCTCTTCTCTTCATGCGTGAAGTATTAACAGAAATGAATATTTGTGAATTTGGTGCCTTTACAGCATGATCAGCAGTAGACTCATGTAGCTGTAAAGAAATAAAGATTCTTCAGTAAAATGGGCAAAAAACCCCACACCTTCCATTGAAAGCATTTCTGAATGGTAAGTTGACTCTCTTAACCTATGTGCACTCTCCCCCTTAACTAAGAACAATACCTGGAACCAGCTGGTTAAACAAATAGGTATAGAAAGAAACAATTTTTAAATTGTTTTAAGCAGGCCAAAAATATGTAAGTAAGAAAAGAAAACATGCTAGGGATTAGCCATCATTGGTAGAAATAACAATGTAGAAAATCTGTAGCAGCCTATAGTATCCAACTTTTTGTAATTTTTTTTTTAATTAACACCTACATGAAGTTATGGAATAATAAGGTTGTTATGTGTGGGAAGTTCACAGCTCAAAACATGCTCCCTAGTCTCATATACATTGTATAGAATGGCACATTAGCTTTTTACTACAGCTATATCTTTCTCTGCAATTGGCCACCATGCTGTCAAACATTGTCACAGACTTTTAGTCTTCCAAATGCATGTTCCACCACATATTTATAGCAGTTAAAAACAGGGTGATAGATGATCTAATTCCGTATTATCCATATAGCTATCAAAGGGCTTCATAAGCCAAACATATATTGTTTAAATAATACCGGACAATATGATGGGGGAATATGTGCATGCTACTAAATGTGATGGCCATATTTATAGACACAGAAGCACTGAAATTCATTAGTTCATATGGAAGGACATATTGAAGATGAAAGCATTGTGGTGTTTCCCACTCCAGTATTTGCGAAGTGACTGGAATGACCCACAGCCTTTTGTTTAGAGGAAAAATTAGAAAAATCTTTCTAATTAATGCACACTTAACTCTTCCATATAAATGATACATGGCAATCAGTCCAATGCAAGTGGAAAACTAATTCGTTTACAGTCATCAATGAAATGTAAAGTAAAAAAGCAATGTAAAAGGGAGGGAGGGAGGGAGGAAGGAAGAGAATTTAGCAAGGAATGCAAATGTGATTTTTCTGCAATTGCAAGTATAGTTCTTGGTGGTAACTTCAGGATTTATGCCTGGAGGGTTGCAAGAATTTATGCCTTGCAACTCCACCATTAGTAGAGATGAGAACAGAAGAAAGGGCTGTGATGATAGCTTACAGACTCATCACCCTCAGACAGAAAAATGCTGGGAAGCTGCCAAGATAGTATTGTTCATTCTAGTTTCCCCCAACATTGGACAACTCATGATTGTCCGCCTGGAAATAGTGGTAACCCATTTTCCAATAATCACTCAAGGATATTGGATATTGGCCGTTACATCACTATAAATTGCCACTGGAATGTTGGACAGACAAAATCAGCAATATCAAACAGTATTTTCCTTGTCATTCTAAAGTTCTTCTTCCACATCTCATCATCCCATGCATCCATAATGAAAACCTGGTAGAAGTACCAGAACCATAGAACAAAGAAGACAGTGCCCATCCCCATTCTCACTGAATGAATGGCTTGCTGGTCTCCAGAACCATTCTATCTTGATTGTTGCATGACTGTTCAACCACACAAGGAAAATATGAGCATGCTTCTTCTGCTTCTCATCTGTCTCTCCAAATGGCTCAAAGCGTTTTGGAAAACTGCTAGAAACATCACAAACTACCTAGAGTCTCTGGGAGTAGGCAGCATATAAATGTAATATGTTGTTGTTGTTATTATTATTATTGACAGCAATGTGAGTCACAGTTTTGAAGGATGCATGGCTAAGTGCAAATGACAAATGCAGAACTGTTTTAAAAAATGGAGGGAGAATTAGATGAAGTGGTGGGAAGGAAGAGGATCAATGATTAATCATTGGACTGTACCCACATTTTCATCCATTTTCCATATTAAAATCCTCTGGGGGGAATGAAACCAAGGATAATACTATGAGAAATGTATATATCCACTAGATAGGTAAACTATACCTAGCTTAGAGCAATCCAAATAGGTTAAGAATCAAGCATAGGAAGCATATTGTGGTAAAACTCTATATCCATTTGGAAGTGACCTTGTTCTTTATTGAAGGCTTGTGCCCTGAAAATAGGACACTGTCTTCCCCAAAATGGTGCCTCCCAGTGTGTTGGGTGGTTACCTATGCTGGCTGGAATAGTCCACATTAGGAAGACAGTTCAGAACCCCAGTGGAGATGAATAAACTATGCTGAGTTTCTGGATGCAGCACACAGTTTTCATATTATGCCATTCTCAGTTTGGAGTTGGGTAGTTTTGATTGTGTGTATACCATGTGTCCTTGTAAATCAAATAGGACATACCTGCTTTCTAACCTGAATAGTTCCTTCCACTGGTAGATTGTAAGCACTCCGAATCAGATTTTTTGCGATGAAATAATAGTATACTGAAATAACAGATAGGGGGATTATGTAAAAGATGAGAAAGGAAGCCATGGACTGAATTTTTGGATGAAGTTCATTGGTAAGCGGGTAAGGCGTGCAACTAATAAACGTTTTATTAGTGCCCCTGTCATAGAAAGGACGCAAGTCTGAAAACACAGCCTCTGGAATGGCAAGCAGCATGGAGAAAATCCAGATCGTGGCAGCTTTCAAACAAATCTTCAGCAGGGCATGTGAAGCTTGGATGTCCATTGGTCTCACTATAGCTTTATACCTAAAGACAAGAGAAACAGTCCTGTTACTGACCAGAAAGGAGGATTTTTACTAGGACAGATTCATGTTGAGTAGTGTTTTTTTGGCGGGGGGGGGGATGAGTACTATTTTTGCAGGAAGAAGGTGGTTCCTTGTTAAAACAGCATTGCATCTTGTGCTGGTTTCCTCTCCCATGGCTCTGAATCAACGCTGGATTGTAGTATCTTGTCTGTTGGACATGAATGGTGGCCATTCATTTAGAAAAGTACTAAATCTCCCCATGGAAACTCTGCAGAAGTCAAACTAGAGATGATGATAGTATCTCTAAAAGTAATTAATACACATATTTTTCGAAAAGTAAATTAAAAACTGCAGGAAACTCCTGAGCTGCAAGAATGAGGAGGGAGAGTTACTCCTTTCCTTTGCCATAACTATTTGCTTTGGAAGGAAAGCTTCTGCTCTTGTCAGTGGAACTTTCCTTCCATCTGCATACAGCAGTTTAGCATTTCCTGACAAGAGAAAAAAATGTTTCTACTCTATTCTTGCTCTTTGAGTTCTGCAGCTGATATTACATTTTGCTAAATGTGCATATTTATTGTATGTATGTTTAATTTTGCATCTGCATTTAATCCCCAGGTATGCCAGCTAACACTTTTCTGTTTCTCACCCAGTTTCCTTTCATGTTTGAGTTACAGTACCATATACTGCATTGTAACTGTTGTTTCCTCAATTATTTAGAAGTACTTAATTTTGCTAATGACTTAAGTAAAGGAGAAGTTCCCTAGGGAATTGGTCCCAATTATGACACCAGTTAATCAAAACTTCACTGAGGAATTTTGTGAAAAACGTAAGCTGTTGGTGGCAAATGAAGCAATTTGCTCTTTGCAACAAAATTCTCCAGTATTTATATATTTATGTTTAATCAATTCAAGTTGATGAAGGAGCATTAGCTTTAGGAAATACTTACAGAGAGTTCCAGGTAAATTTTCATGGATGAAGTGCACTTATGTTTTTATAACATAGCTAGAAGTTGGGTATGAATGTTCTCCAGCAATCTGCAGTTCCCTGGTCTTCCACACTTAAATTAAATTCCATTCCATTTTTTAATGTCAATATTACAGTCACTGCTAAAGGGGGGTTTGGCTATCCTAGTTCTCTGCCCACAAATTTGGTAAAGAATTTTGAAAAGTCATTTTTTGTGTTCAAAATTAATTTAGAACTGCCAGTTGATGTTTGGAGACCAAAGAGAAAGAAAGAAGCCTGCTTCTCTATTTTGCTCTTAATGCTACTGTCATATTTTTGGTAGATTCATGTATCTAATGGTTATGATAACTACTTTCATTGCTTGAGGTTGGAATCTATTCTCTTTCTTCACAAATTGATAAAACACTGTATGGCTATCATGTTCACAGTTGTTAATCAATGATATATAGTGCCTCAAAATGTAATTTTCAGGGTCTGTGATTATAAACACCTGGTGTTGTCAACTCAGTTCATTAGGCAAATAGTTTTTCATAATGAAATGTGGCATGCACTATATAAAAAATGCATTACTGTGGAATTCAAGGTAGCTAATTTAAGTCAAAATGAATCTGTGATGTTGGAACAAGTTTGTGTTGAGCACATCTTGGTCATTGTCAAACCACAGATTCATTTATGTTTGTTCTACATGGCCATTCTTTGATAAGAAAATCCAATATTCTTAAAATGAATGTCAGTAGAAAATTAATCCATCCTGTTGGAACCAATAGCACGTGAAAGGCTTATCTGTGATTTTATTTTGCTCATTTTCATTAATCCAGAATGTTAGTAAAGAAAAACATGCAGCAACTCAGATAAAGCTATTTTTAAAAAGTATACAGTGAGCAATAACTTTAATTAAAATTATTTATAAGGAGGCTCTTGTTGTTAGAAAGAGAATGCCCTTCTGTCCCATCACTAAGGTAAGAAGAGAACATGACTGTATGAGAACAAAAATATTTTTTTCCTATGAAAACACAGAAATTATTACAATGGCTTTTATTTATACACATTTATAGCAACATCTGAGTAAGAGTAATCTTGTCATTTGAAGTTTGGAGGAACGTGGGTACAAACTGAAAGTTATGAGATCTGTACGCAGACATCTGTTTATGCGGTTCTTTAAGATTAATTTAAAAAATAAGATGCCAATGCTCTGGAAAGCAGCAACCAAAAATTAGAGATCTCTTTCTCTTCAACCATCCAGAGACTGAACTTGTTGACCCTTAGCTAGATCTTTGCTTTAGATCAGTTCATGGCTCTTCTTTTTCAGGACTAACATTATTCTTGGCTCTGTTTCTTCTTCACATTGGTTTAGAAAATGGGAAAAAGAAACAGAGGCAAGAATAATTTAGCAACTGGATGATCTACCACCAGATGAAAACAAGAAGCTTTTATATCCATAAAAATGAAAAAGACTATCTACAGCAGCAGCATATCTGTATCTGCACATCTCAGGATTTACTATAACTTGTTTTGTAATGAATCTCAGATCTATGTTTGAGAGATGTCAGTGGGTAGATTGAAGATGATGAAAGAGAAGCAGCTAGCCAAACTCCTCATGAACTCTCACCGAACCAAAATAACCTATGTTAGTGTTTATATGGACATTCCAGATTAATTTAGAAAAGACCAAGCATTTTCCTAAAATAAAATAAAATAAAATAAAATAAAATAAAATAAAATAAAATAAAATAAAATGCCACCTATGGCAAATTATTCATTTCTTTAGTCTAATACAGCCTAGATGGAAGGACAGAGTTTTCCATTTGCAGGATTCTCTTGTCTTTATCTGTGCATCTATACCTTTAACTCTCAATCTCACTCTCTCAGTCACACACTCTCACATGCATACGTGTACACATACATACACACACACATTTACACTCAATAAAAGCTCAGTGGTTTAGGAATTGGGTTTTATCACATGTAATTGCTGTTGACACATCTAAATTAGGCCTATGTGCCCAAGCTTTACAACTAGCTGTAATCCGATCCCCATCTACTGGTTTCATTTCTTCTGATTGCTGACATCTCTTCAGGGTTTCAGGCAATTTTTTTTCCTATTACCTAATGTATTCAGGGATTGAATGTGGGATCTTCCACTTTGGGTTCTCTGAGCTTGGTTCTTTGCTTGCAAATGTTTCATTACCTGGCTAGGTAACATCTTCAGTTCTGGAATGGGATGGGGTTTGCTCGCTATTTATGTGCTGTGGCCTGCCTTGCCAGTGCTGGTGGGGTGGGGGTTTTGTTTTGCTCTTCTGGTAGTTCTTTGATTGGCATGTGTTTGCTGCTTGATTGTGTGCCTGGTGGTAACTTTTGCTGATCTGGGTGATGATTGCTGGTGAGGCAATCTTCTGGTCTTTTGTCTCTTTTGAATGGTATGAGAATTCTTGGAAGCTTGGTATTCAGACAAGGCAGCAATTAACAGACACATAAACAGCATCTACACACTATTCAAACGAGACAAAAGACCAGCACTGGCAAAGCAGGCCACAGCAGATAAATAGAGAGCAAACCTCATCCCACTTTAG